TATTTTTATTGAAGTTGATCATGTCCACTGCAATGAAAGTTAGTTTTATTGTATACTAGCAGAAACCTGCAAAACATTTGCAGTCAAATTAGTATCTTTATTGCAACAGTACTTCTTTTAATACAGGATTTCTAAAATAATACATAAGAATTATAAATGCAGACACCAAAATCTACAAGTTCACTTGTATTAGGCCTAACATTAGTTAAACCTTTATAATAAAGTTAAGTATGGCCTAGATTCAATAACAAGATAAATTAACATTGTAACTTGTGTACCTTTTTTGCTTTAGTTTAGTTAGGGCTAAACTTTATTAGGCTATCAAAAAATAAACTTGTAATGCTATTCTATGACCAAATGTTAGAACTTTTAAAACCTTTGATAAGTTTTCAATATGTTGTTGTACAAAATATTTACTGAAGTATATTTATATCCATTCTAAAATATGGTTTGTTAGCTACGTTTTTATGCTTTATTTATTCATATGCCATGACAATAAAGTAGTTTAATTACATTTTGAATGTAGCTCACTAAAACCTAATGACATGAGCAGAAAAAGATGCCTCTAATGAGAGGGTTAAATAAAGGTATGGCTATGTGAGTTTGATTGTCTAGCTGCATAAATCATTTTCAAATAGAACATGATTTATCGATTTAATACATAATGCCTGCAAGAAAGCATAATTTAAATGCTGTGTATGAAATTTATAGAAAAAGGAAAGTTGTAGCAAGAGCATAAAAATGACCACAAATGTTTGGCAGGTGGAGGCTAGTATATATATATTAATACCGGTACTGTTTCTCTCTCTCCTTCTCTGAGGTTTTGGTGATCTTCCTTATTCTGTTTATGCTCCTAACTTTTGGAACACTCTCCCTATCAAGCTGCAGTGTGTGAAGTCTGTCATGTCTTTTAAAGTCTTCTGAAGTCGTATTTTTTTTCCACCTGGCTTTCCACTAATGTAAAGACTGGTCAGCGACAAACACTTTGAATAGCTAGCAATGGCTAAAGGAGCTTCGTATCAGAAATTATTATTATTATACCATGCCAATACAGCAATACCATACCAAGATAGTACTATTAAGCCATGCCACACATCATATATACTTCTCTTTTTATATTTTACTATTTGTTTTAACAGAATCTTCTCCACTGAATCAAGGGCTGAGCTTGTAAGTAATGATGCAGGTGATCCTAAAGCAGAGCAAGTGAAGAAGAACATGAAAATCAGATAAACTTCCACAACATTTCCGATATTGTTAGTAGCGAGACAGAGTCCAGTCAGGTTTCCTTTCTCTCCCTGATCATCTTTGATGTGCAACACATACATTCAATTTTGTAGAAACCAGTGATGTAGAAAAGGCTTTGAGGAATGGTACATTCCAGAAGTATCCTGATTGGCATTTGAACGCCCAGACACTTTGGAACAAACAGAGCCACAGCACCACAGTAGCTGACCTTATACAAGAACTGGGTGAATGTTTTGTTGTGCAGTGGAATTTAATGTACGATGTGTTAGTTCGTATGGAAAGCATAATAACTAAGAGAAAGTGTTCAGTGTGTGATGAGCTGTGCATCTTCATGCATTTCAACCTTTTGGATATAAACTTCATCAAAGAATACATAATCGTCACATGACCTGAGCACATGCTGATTTACTTCAAAGTGAAACTAAGGCCTATATGGGGCTACTTCTGCAAACACTTACTGCATGTTTGACAAAACTGAAAGATCTTTGTGTATACCACCCCAGACTTGCAAGCCACTTCTTGATGCTTAGATTTCAGGAATTGAGAAGCACTTTGAAGCTGCCTTTGTCAATGACGATCAAGTTCTTGCAGCTGCTTTTCACCCATAGTTTAAACTGATTTGGATTAGCTCAACTGCTATTGTTACGTATCTGCTTGTTTGTTAATTTCCAGAACAAATTCCTTTCAAGGAACTTCAGCGATACAATTCCCTTCTTGATTAACCCAGTTTATTCTTTCTCGATACAAACTTTTAGTACACAGTAATTTC